GACGACAGATTGACAGGGTATTTGTTAAATTTCTTGGCAATAAAGAATAGATTCCTTTCTTCAGAGTACAATAGCTATTTACCAACCATCAAAAGGCAATGTCCAAAATCTTAATTTTTTTAATTCTATTTTAACCTATTTCTTTCAGTAATCTTTCTAAAAGGCACATTGGATAAATGTACCCTTGTTGAAAAGAGCTGTAGAGAGCTATGGGAAATGCCATACTTTATTTTCATTTTGCAAACCTATATTGTGAAAGCCAACACATTCAAAAGTATCCCTGTCTAATTTTGCTTGAATATCGCCTCTTGCCTTTTTGTTTTTGATCACCCACAAAAGGTTTGAAAGGGAAATCATGCTTGGAAGCAGTGCCTCACCATGTGAGGAAATTGTGTGCATGAATCCGCAGCTTAGCAAATTGTGCTGAATAGGAATGGGTCAAGTGATCTGGCACAGGGGTATATGCGGTGAAAGTTCCAACTTCCTGCAGGTTGCTGCTTCAGTTCTGCATTCACAGAGTTCTCATTTTTGAATCATATCAAACCACTTATCTTGAATACAATGTATGAATATAAAAGGCTAATGGGTAAAATGAAATGGCTATTCAGACCATCAAGCTAATTCTTTCCAGACTGTGCCAAAGTTACCCATGGAGGCCTTGACTAAAATTAGTTAATCTCTTGAAAGGAACTAAAAACATGTCATCGACCCAGCCCCACAGTGGCCCAGTCCCCTCAGCAACAGCTCAGATCAACCAAGCAATCAAACTTAACTAATGATATTATTTGAAAATTCATTTATTGTGCCAGTCTGTCCTTAAATTCTCAGAAATATTGTCTACGTAATTGTATTCAGTAAAGAAAAAGGAATACAGACGTTCAAATAAAGAATATTAGTGCTTTTCTCATTTCAAACACCTCCTCTCAGTGAAATTCCCTAAAGTTTCCCCCATAATGACGTACAGCACCCTGTACAGCATCAATACGATGCTTCTATATCCACCAGCAGCTATCCTTCCAGCTGGTTTGAATAAGAGTGCTAATAATTGTATGTTGCATTCCATAGCACCTTTAGCACGAGGCAGCATTTTCTGGATGGCAGGTCCCACTAACCATTGAGAAAGGTCAGTGGGGATTGTATCCCTACTGCTATCACAGCCCTGCAACTATTTATCACTCCATGGGGCATTAATTGGCTGAAGGTGCGATTTCTCTCCCTGTTGCTGAGGTGAGACTTTCTCCAAAGTCAGGGGTGGAAGTCCTACCTCAGTGAGCTGTCAGCCTATCTGAATGGGGAGGCGATAGCCTGGTGGTATTATCACTGGACTATTAATCCAGAGACCCAGATAGTGTTCTGGGGACCCGGGTTCAAATGGTGGAATTTGGATTCAATAAAATATCTGGAATTAAGAATCTAATGACGACCATGAATCCATTGTCAATTGTCGGAAAAACCCATCTGGTTCACTAATGTCCTTTAGGAAAGGAAACTGCCACCCTTACCTGGTCTGGCCTCCATGTGACTCCAGACCCACAGCAATGTGGTTGACTCTTAACTGCCCTCTGGGCAATTCGGGATGGGCAATAAATGCTGCCTGGTCAGAGATGCCCTCATCCCATGAATGAATAAAAAATAAAGCACCTGTGCCCCCTGCCTCTGCTTCTGGGGGAGGCGGGGGGTAAAATCCTGCCCTACTGTAAAACTACTCTAGGAAGTATCACCATAGTTCTTAGTCAAAATCTGAGACCAAACCATTCAAAGAAATCATAGGGCAGAAGACTAAAAGCTTGCTCACAGAGGTAGGCTTTATAGTGACAAGGTGTCACCGTAAAGCCTGTGTTATTCAATGGACTCCAGCTTGTTAGGAATATTGCCATTACTTTCTGTCGTAATGTCAGTGAGTCCACTCCCGTCCTACCAGTGTGGATCCATCTGTATTAGATTCAAACAAATCGCAGGTCTGGGGGCGCAACTCACCTGGTTATTCTGCCATCTAATTCTCCTAGTGATCTCTTTAAAGTCAGTTATTTCTAACCATTATCTGGGGAATTGTACACAGTCACAATTTTGTGGCAATGAATTTGTCTGAAGACTAACAAATTATTCAGTTGCATTTTTACTTTTATGACTAGGTTAGCAATTACCAGCAATGTAATGATAAGGCTATGTACACACTGGCTGCTGCATTTTATACATTACAATGGACTGAAATTTCCAGTCCCCTGGGATGGCATTGACAGATGCAGGAGACATTTTCATTCATTCACAGGATGAGGGCATCACTGGCTAGGCCAGCATTTATTGCCCATCCCTAATTGCCCAGAGGGTAGTTAAGAGTCAACCACATTGCTGAGAGTCTGGAGTCACATGTAGGCCAGACCAGGCAAGGATGGCAGTTTCCTTCCTGAAAGGATTCTAGTGAACCAGACAGGTTTTTTCCAGACAATCAACAATCAGGATCATCATCAGACTCTTAATTCCAGATTTTTTAAAATTAAATTCAAATTCCACCATTGCCATGGCAGTATTCAAACCTGGGTCCCCAGAACATTGTTGAGTCTCTGGATTAACAGTCCTGTAATAATACCACTAGGGCATTGCCTCCCTTAACAGATAGGTGGGGATAGCAGAGGTAAACATTTGCAAAACCTACCCTCTTGAACGCCTTCTTCGGTTTTACCAGGGGTGGGGGAGGCATGCTTGCCCATGTACCAATTGAGACTCCTATGTTACCAATCAAAGGCCAATTTAGTACCTCCTCCCATCACCAAGGTGATATTACTCATGGTCAGGAAAAGTGTTCATTCTGTTCACATTGTGAATTGGTGGCCAGGCAAAAGTGGGTAGGGTGTCTTCTTTTGCGGACCCCTTTGCTAATCAGAGACATTTTCCAAGGCATTCACTTCTCCTGATTTGCCCTTTCTATAATCTGTGTCGATTCCAGCCTCCCATTCACCTCTTCTCTGGAACCTGCCAGCTGTGTTTCAACAACATCCCACTCTCCTTTTGCAATCAGCTCCATTGCAGCCCACTATTGGGCTACTGGGAATTTGGATTGGCGGATCAGGACAGCAGTGTCACCTAAAGTCAATTGTCAGCCTGACTTTAAGTTGCTGTGGAGTAAACTGGCCAAGCCACTGGGTGGACTTGGCATTGATTTCGAAACTGTGGGAATGGGAGATATCGAAGATCATGAATGATGCTATATAATAGAAAGGATGTTATTAAATTGGAGAGGGTTCAGAAAAGATTTACCAGGATGTTGTTTGAGTTATAAGGAGAGGCTGGATAGGCTGGAACTTCTTTCCCTGGAGAGTAGGAGGTTGAGGGGTGACCTTATAGAAGTTTATAGAATCATGAGGAGCGTAGATAAGGTAAATAGCAAAAGTCTTTTCCCTGGGCGGGGGAGTTCAAAGCTATAAGGCATATTTTTAAGGTGAGATGAGAAAAATTTAAAAAGGGCCTTAGGGACAACTTTTTCACGTGGAGGGTGGTTCGTATGTGGAATGAACTGCATGAGGAAGCAGTCGATGCAGGTACAGTTACAACATTTAAAAGACATTTGGGCAGGTACATGCGTAGGAAAGGTTTGGAGGAATATGGGCCAAATGCAAACAAATGGGACTGCTTTAGTTTGGGAAACCTGGTTCAGCGTGGACAGGTTGGACGGAAGGGACTATTTCTGGGCTGTATGACTCTATGTCTTTCTTTATCACAAGTTTGAACAGAGATATTATAAGGTCTTAGTGAAAATTTGTAGCTTGGGTTATGGATGCAGTTGTTCATTAGCTCGCCAAGCCAGTTGTTCTGTGGTGTGCAAACGTTTCATTACCATTCTAGGTAACATCATCAGTGCAACCTCTAATCATAGTGTTGGTGTTCTGCTCTGTTCCGAATTTATATGTGGTGGGTCTTGTCACTTCTGGTTCTGCTTTTTAGCAGTGGTCTGTATACTAGGTCTACTTCTATGTGTTTGTTAACGGAGTCCCGTGTTGAGAATCAGGCTTCCAGAAATTCCCTTGCATGTCTGTTGTTTGCTTGTCCCAGTCTAGTCACTTTGTCCCAGTCGAACTGATGGCACTCATCACTGATCGATTGGGACAAAGTGACTAGACTGGGACAAGTGAACAACAGACATGCAAGGGAATTTCTGGAAGGATCGATCTCAACATGGGACTCCGTTAACAAACATATAGAAATAGACCCTGTATCCCTGCTAAAAATAAACAGAACCGGAAATGATTTGGCCCATCACAGCAGAGGACCATATAAATTTGGAACAGAGCAGAACACTAACACTTTGATTAGAAGTCGCACTGATAACGTTGCCTAGAATGGTAACGAAACGTCTGCACACCACAAAACAAGCAACTCGGCGAGCTAACAAACAACTGCAGAGATATTATAAGCAACTTTTAGGAAACAGGAGTTCAAAGCAGAAACCAAACATTAAAAAAAATCATTGGACACAGGTGAATACATTGAGAATTATACATCAACCGTGTCTGATGAAGCCATGTAGTTATTTTGAATATAATAAGTTTCCTGAAAATGGGGACATCTAAGTAACTTATTCAGTTTGGCAGCTGCCTTTGGTAGAGAAGAGCTCCCCAAGTCAAATATCTGGAGTACGGTCTGATTGACCCCAACAGCTGCTCTCTATTTTGTGGTTAGGTTTCTCATGGAATGTAAGTCTGATGGAGAAGTAATTGCTCTGTCAAAAAAAAAAATCCGTCTCCCTCTAACTCGGCAATTCATACATGGTTTGCTGTGTACGTGAAGTCTCGGATTGCTTAACTATATCAAACAAAGTCAGTCGCACAGGAAGGTGATTATTTATTGCAAAACTTGCGTCAATTTTTGCCTTTTATGAAAGTCTTACAAGCATGCAGGAAAATGAATATATTAGACCCAACTGGTCATTTTAACATTGTTATCTCATGCATTCTTTACCTTCACCTTTGTTTTCTCCTCTCTTGCCCTTCATGTTTTGCTGATAGTGTTCGGTGACCTGCGGAGTAGGATATCAGCAAAGAGAGGTCTTCTGCCGGCTGAAGGGCGTAGGTCGAATAAGTGAAGAGACGTGCAATCCATTCTCTCGTCCAGCCAGCACACAGCAGTGCCGGCTGCCTGACTGTCTGCAGAATGAATGGCTTGCAGATGAATGGGAAGACGTAAGTATGGCCTGATAAGATGAAAAAGTTAATGTCAGAAATGACAGAGGGGCTTCTTTTATGGGGCTTCCTCCAGAGTAAGGACTTCAAATAAATGTTTGCATAAATAGTGCCTACAGTTATTTGACCAGGTGCCAAACCAGATATGCATGGGAACTCGAAAGGAAGCCACAAACTGTCTCCCCAGAAAATCCAGACAGGACTGTTTAAATGTTCCCTTACTTGTACCAGAACTTTAACTCTGTTGTATAGCTGCTTCACTCATTTATAAAAAGCCTGCCCAGTGACATGTTCCTGAAGTTTCTCCAAATTCTTGACAGTAGTTTGTATTCCTGCTCCTTGCTTTCTGCGTTTGACTGCATTTCAGTCATCTCAAAATCACAGTAACTTTGAGCATCCAAAATGCTTCACAAGGGATTTATTCCAGAATTTAACTCTTCAGCTAGAGAGAGATTTTGTCATCAATCTTTCTCATTTACCAATTCCATTTGGTCTACTATAGATATTTTATTTTGTCCAGTTGTGTTTAGGATCAGCAAGTGCTCTTGAGGATCTGATTTTGATTAACAATGCCATCTATCTATTTGTACTATAATAGATATTTAGGGATGAGTAGTCAAATTATCTGGGCTGGATGTTCTTGAATTTTTACACAAGCCTCCTTGTAGGCAAACATTGAAGAGGTGAAGCTTGTTTGGAATCATCAAATTGCTCTATGTCATACTTACTGAACATACAGGGTGTGTGGTCTGATTCACTTAGATCAATTGGTACAACTTAATCTTCGTGTAATGACACCCAATGAAAGACGTGCCACAATTCTGCACTTCAGTGAGCCATCTTGCTGAGATCAATGTCTGTGTATTCCTCCAGCATTTATGACTTTCTGAGTTGCGCTCAATCTTTCTCAGTTGTCTGCATTAAACCTGGCTACCACTGTAACCTATCAGTACCCCATCTGCACAGATGGATAAGGTTCAAAGATTTTCCCAACAATTGGAGAAATTTTAACCTCTTGTTGTTGGAAGAGGAGTAGATAGGGAAGCTCAAAAAGTTTTAAAAGCCGAAATGCAATTCCAATTCAGCCTTCAAAATGCCTACTTCCATTCTTAACAGACATGGGTTTTGTGAGTCAAAAAATGTGGATCTGGAAAAGCACAGCAGGTCAGATATCATCCAAGGAGCAGGGAAGTCAGTGTTTCAGGTCGGAACACTTCTTCAGGATTTTGAGAGTGGATTCAGGAGACCAAACTGCTCTCAAGTTAGGTCAGATATTTATATATGTTAATGAGGTTGCATACCTTAGATTTTAACAGACAATTAATAGCCTTGGACCAGGTTTTCCATGGATGGGGAAATTCAGCGTGTGAAGAAAAGAGATAATGGCAAGTTGGAGCATTTAATTGTCTTTCAAGCACTGCTTGTGGACCATGCACAGTAGGTGTGCTGTCTGCCCCTGGCATTCCACGCTCCCCCTGCCCTGCCCCGCCCCGCCCCACCCCACCCCACCTCCCTGCCCCGCCCCGCCCCACCCCACCTCCCTGCCCTAAACCAGCCTACAACTCTTCTTGCAATCAGCTGACACATATTCGGGACCCACACATTTTCCAGTTCTGCCCCTGTGATGTACACGTCAACCTGTACTTTTTAAACTACAAGAATGTATTTTGCTATCAAACCTTGTAATGCATCAGACTCTTTCTGCAGAACTTTATTCAAGAACCACCACCAAGTCTCTTTTGTTAATAATTCTAATATGACTTAAAATTATGCTCTAGTCTAATCTTTTTTAATCTACTTAATATCAAATAGACCTTGAATTTCTCTTATCTTTATATCCTTTCAAGTCTGAAGAGTATAAGTTTCAATCTTTGCTCATAACTCAGGCCTTTAATCCGAGATTTATAATTCCCAAGGTTTGACATGTACTTTCTATCCTGGTAACCCAAATTGAATGCGGTGTTCAAAGGCACAGCCTTACTGGAGCACTACATCAAAACTTACATTATCTCATTCTCACCATTCAACCTGCCACATTCATCCATGACAGTATTAGTGGAAGTGACCACGGAACAATGCTTGCGGAGAACAAATCCTGTATTCACATTGAGGCTTCCTTCTTTATGTTGTCTATCGCTGACCTCAATGGGATCAATTTCAAACAGGTCTAGTAACTCAAATTGAACATCCACGATGTTCTCTGGACTATCAACAGCAGCAGAATTATGTACAACCACAGACCGTAGATATGGTGTAGCATATCGCCCACTCTACCATGGTGATCAGGCTAGGAGATCAACCTTAGGCCAATGAAGTGTATAGGAGGCCATCCTGAGAGAAGCGTCAGGAATGCCTAACAATAAGATGTCAACCTGTTGAAGCTACAATGCAGGAATACTTGGAACATGAACTGTTTGGCTTCCATGTGATTGACAGGTCTAAGGCAAATTCAGAACCAAAGGATCAGATCAAAGCTCTGCAGTCACTCCACCTCCAGTCCTGAATTGTGGTCAACACTTAAAGATCTGACAGAAGGTGGAGTCTGTACAAATACTCCCATCCTAAATGATGGAGAAGACCAGAACATCAGTGAAACAGACAAGACTGAATCATTTGCATCTATCTTCAGTAGTTAGACATACCAATTAAATGATTAACTCAGCCTTCTCCTGAGATCCCAGCATCACAGATCTTCAGCCGATATAATTCACTCCATGTGAAGTCATCTCAAACACTGACAACATAGTGCAAAAGTGAAGTCCTGTGCTCCAGAACTAGCTCCACCATCTAGCCAAGATGTTCCCTTATAGCTACAACACTGGCATCAACCTAACAATGTAGAAAATTGCTGAGGTATGTCCTGTACACATAAAAGGAGGACAAATCAACCTGGCCAATTTTCATGCTATCAGTCTACTCTCAATTATCAGCAGAGTTTGGGAAGGAGCCATTGACACTGCTATCCAGCAACACTTAAACTGCAATAACTTGCTCACTGGCACTTACATTGGGTTTTACCAAGGTCACTCAGCTCATTACAGATTTAGTCCAAACATGAACCAAAGATCTAAACTCAAGGTGAAATAAGGGTGACTGTCTCTAACATCAAGGCAACCTTTGACTTAATGTGATATCAAATAGCCAAAGAAAGACTGGAGTCATCGGGAATCAGAGGGAAAACCATCCACTGGTTGATGGCATATAGGAAGATGGTTGTGATTTTTGGAGGTCAATCAATCAGCTCAATCCCAGGACATCTCTACAGGAGTTCCTCAGGATAGTGTCTTTGGGTGAAATATCTTCAACTATTTCATCAAGACCTTCCCTCCATCATAAGGTCAGAAGTGCAGATGTTCGTTGACGATTGCACAATGTTCAGCACCATTTGCGACTCCTCAGATACTGAAGCAGTCCATATTCAAATGCAACAAGACCTGCTCAGCATTCAAACTTGGGCTGATAAATGGCAAGTAATATTTGTACTGCACACGTACCAGGAAATGACCATCTCCAACAAGAGCAAATGTAAACATCGCTTTAGACATTCAGTGGTATTACCATTACTAAATCCGTCGCTTTCAATGTCCTGAAGGTTACTATTAACTGGAAATGGACCTGGACGAGTTGTACAAATAGTGTGACTACAAGAGCGGGTCAGAACATACTCTGGGAATAATCTGGTAATTCACTTCCCGACTCCCCAAAGCCTTTCACCATCTACAAAATTCAAGTCAGAGGTGTGATGAAATACTGTCCACTTGCCTACATGAAGGCAATATTGTTAATATTTCAATGCAACATCCAGAACAAAGCATCCTGCTTGATTGTTACTTGGTCCATCACCTTCAATATTCATTCTGTCCACTATCAATTCTCAACAGTTGTGTGTACCGTCTACAAAACACACTGCAACAACCCACCATGATCTAGAATGACGGAGCAGGCTGAAAGCACTGAGTGACTGACTCCTGCTCAATAATCCTGTATCCTTAAGATTATTTTAATGGAACCTTTCAAACCCATAACATTTCCTGTCTGGGATGACTAAGGCAGCAGACACATGAGAACACCGCCATCTGCAAGTTTCTCACCAAATCAGTCACAATCCTGACCTGGAACTATATCACTGCTCCTTCACTGTGACGGAGTTAAAAATCCTGGCATGCTCTTCATAACTGCATTGTGGAGGAGGTACCTACACCACATAGACTCCAGCAATTCAACAAGTTAACTCACCACCACCTTTTCAAAGGCAACTGGGGGCTAACAAGAATGCTGGCTTCGCTAGAAATGCCACATCTACGGAAGAATGTATTTTATCAGCTTCAACATCATACTGTTAAGTTTCTGCTTCGCTGGTCACATGGTAAAAATTTATTATTTTTCCTTCTGTTATTGATTTCTGCAGTGACTCAATTTGACAACATTCATTCTTGTTCTAAACGTTAAAAGCTTTAATTTTCATAAGAGTCATAGATTAATAGAGTTGCCCAGCACGGAAACCGACCCTACGGTCCAACTCGCCCGTGCCACTAGATATCCTAAATTAATCTAATCCCATTTTCCAGCATTTTGCCCATAGCCCTTTAACCTTTTCTTAGTCATGTACCCATTCAGATGCCCTTTTCAAATGTTGTAATTGTACTCATCTAATCAAAGATCCTGTCAGAAATTAGTCAAATTAATCATTACCCAATATTCAGAAAATGATAGGGTGCAGAGGCATGTGGTTAGAGGTTGAAGCACAAATAACTCTGCTGTGACAGATACATCCAGGCAGTTGGAGGGATTTAAATTCAATTAACAAAATCTGGAATTGAAAACTGGTTACAGTAATGGTGACTCTGAAACTACCATTGTCATAAAAACCCATCTAGTTCACTATTGACATTTGGGGAATTACCCTTTTCTATCCTTACCTGATCTGGATTATTTATGACTCCATGTGTACAGCAATGTGGTGCACTCTTTACTTGCCTAAGAGGCCACTCAGTTCAAGGCCAATTGGTAACAAATGCTGGCCTTGCCAATAACGCAAACATCCCATGGAAGAATAAGAAAGAACAAGAAAACAAGCATGCTAGAGGTTGTATCACTCTGTGGAGATGCTCACTTTTAAAATTCCCCGTTCCTTAACTTCATGTGTAAACTGCCAATATGTGGAGTAATCTGCCACCTAACACAGTGACTGCTGGTTCAATTGAATTATGATCCTCGAAAGGCATTTAGGCAGTTTCCTGATTCAGCAGGGAGCACAGAAGCACAGAGATCTAAATTTGAGATCAGAGGAATGCAAAAAACTGTCAGTACAGATCTTGAAAGAGTACCTAAATAACAGGGCAAGTTAAATGGGCTAAATATATCATTGCAAACAAGAAAAAGTAATTCATTGTGTTGAGTACATTAAACATTCAAACATAATGATACAAGTACTTCTCTTCCTTCTGTTGTTAAATGGTCTTTTCCCTTGGATTTATCCTGGTCTTACTAAGTGTAACACAAAAAAAAAATCTTTTCACTGATGTGGAAATCTCCCTTTTTTTTGAAAACCTATTCTCACCTCTGCGCAAATTTTTCCTAAGATCTTCCATCTCAGGAACCCACTCGTGTCCACTTCATAGGCTGACTGCACCATTACACAGAGGAAATCCATATAATGTAGAGTTGGATGCATAGATTATTTCATTTACTAAGCAATACACTATAGACGAGACTCCAATGGATGCCAGTTTACATTGTGGTTAAAAAACTGTTTTCATTTTTAAGTTAAGACCGACTGAGCCAAACATATGTCTACAGACATGTTAATTTAAAATTGGTGCATTGAGTAGTTAATCAGAAATGAAAAGGACATGTTTGCAGATTTAATGCAGTATTTCTATTCAAGTATCCTTGAAACCTAGTAAAAGGATCTTTTATTGTATATACCTCAGATGATTTATTACGTGTAATTAGAGCTGAAGACAGAAATCCAGCCGGTATAAAGTAGTTTACTATTTATGGTCTGTCATAGCAGGTTCACTGTGCTCACTCAACCCTTAAAATGTTAATACCAATTACTGTGGTAAAGATGTCAAACTGCGAAAGAGAACTGCTGGGTGAAGTGAGATTTGGTGGAAAGAATACACTGAAGCAATTTAAGCTCAGCCAACTAGTTCATCAGTTCACGTGCTATTTTCAGATCAAACCTGTTCCGGAGATATTTCTGGCAATAAGTCCCATGGTCAACCTTCATGCCCCATCAGAACTGAGGTCCTAGGGTGGCCAGTTGAGAATCACATAAGGGCTCCATATCGCCACTGCCTTTATGTTTTTCTGTCAATTGAACAGAAGATGAAACTCTATTTGAGTAATTTGTTTTTATTCATTTTGAAATTCCAAAATGGTGCTGGGTTGTGATGAAAGAACACTTTTCACTGTATTTTCCTAAATACATGTGACAATAAAATCATTCATTCGTTCATTCATTCGATCGAGGCACAGTGGACATCGGAGAGAGTCTTCCTGATTCTGAGAATGCCATGCCTCTTCAGAACTCTGTTGTAACAAGATCTGAGGTCTTTCAACCTTGTTTTAATTTCAGTTCAAGTTCTGAACAAAAGTCATTGTGAAATCTTCAAATGAGACTGAAAAGTACTTGTTGAAGATTGTACTTAGTCAGTGTTTGTTATGGGTTGTGATGGTGATCTGATGAAGCACGGCATTCTCATAATTGGGTCAGGACAGCTTGAAGGAAGAGCAGAGAAATGACTCCCAGCGGGAATCCCCTCTCTGATGTCCAATGTGCTTCAATCAAGTCCTGATTGCCTGCAGTGGTGAGATGGGCCTTTATGTGATCCTTAATTGGCAACTTTAGAACCTCAATTGTGGTGGAACATGAAGAAACATGGGTTTAACGCTCAAAATGTAATTCTGGTGGAGTATGCCACCAGTCTGCACAGTGGCGTTCACAGCTTGGTCCCACTAGATACAGAAGATTTCATCCAATTGTGCAGTTTATAGAAACAATGGTATAATCTTGGGTCAATGTATTTTCAATGTCTGAAATGGACCACTTGCAGACTAATAGTAGATGGGAATTTATTTTAGAATGCAAGCTCTTGAGAAAGCAAATGTTAAAGCAGAATTTGACTCTCTTGTATACACTGCTACTGTGTTTAAATCTGCAAGTTTGTCTTTAGACAGGACGGATATTTATCAATATGTTGCAATCAATCAGTAAAATAGATCACGGATTCAAAATTCGAATGGGACAACATGTGATCCTAAAATTCTAGCCTGCAAGAGCTGTTAAGAAATCCCACTTTTGCACTAATATGTCTTTTGGTTCCTGTTTTCCAGTGTTCCACATCATGCGGTCAAGGTGTACAAAGCCGCAAGGTGCTATGTGTCAATCACATTCAGAAGCAAATGGAAGAAAGCTACTGCAACCATTCAGCAAGACCTCCTTCTGTGCGCAACTGCATTATTGTACCTTGTGAATACATATGGATTACAGGGGAATGGTCGCAGGTAATAATGACTCAGAATCCTGCTCTTAAAACTATTGCCATAGATTCAGATTTTACCAGTTGTCATGATTTTCACATACTAACAGGAGTGTGGATGCCTTGTTACAGTTATACAGGGCTACATCTGGAGTACTGTGTGCAGATTTTTGTCTCCTTACCTGAGGAAGGATGTTCTTACTGTAGAGGGAGTGCAGAGAAAATTTACCAGGCTGGACTGGAGTATGAAAAGAGGTTGAATCGGTTAGGATTATATTTGTTGGAGTTCAGAAAAATGATTGGGGATCTCATAGAAGCCTATAAAATTCCAACAGGACAAGGCAGGGTATGTGCAGGATGGATCTTCCAGATGGCGGGGTGTCCAGAACCAGAACCAGGGTGTCACATACAAGATAAACCACTCAGGCTGAGATGAGAAGAAATGTCTTCCCCCAAAAGAGTGGTAAGCGTGTGGACTTCGTTACTGCAGAAAAACATTGTATGACTTCAAGAAGGAGTTCGATATAACACTTTTGCTAAAGGGATCAAAGGATATGGGAGAAAAGCAGGAACAAGCCATTGAGTTGGATGATCAGCCATGATCATATTGAGCAGTGGAACAGGCTCAAAGGGCCAAATGGCCTACTGCTTCTCCTATCTTCTCTGTTTCCGTGTTCAACACCCTGGCTCAGCAAAAACTTAAACTTGCAGACCACCTAGTAATCTTTCAGTCAGCACTAGCATTAAGAGTTAATTGGTCTCTTCTGTGCCACGAATTTCTTTAACTTGAAAGATGTCAATTTTTTTTTCAAAAAAAAAATTAACCTATTCAGATGTGATGTGACATACCTCTGGAGCATGTGGGATTTGAACCCAGGTTTTCTGGTTCAAAGATAGGGACACTACCACAGTGCCACTTGAACACTTCGAAAAATGCGTAATGAATCAAATGAGACATTAAGAGTCATGGAGTCATATACCCTTTGGTCCAACCAGTCCATGCCAACCATAATCCCAAACTAAACTAGTCCCACCTGCCTGCACATGGCCCATATCCGTCTAAACCTTTCCTGTTCATGTACTTATCCAAATGTCTTTTAAACTTTGTAACTGTACCCACATTCACCACTTCCTCTGGAAGTTCATTCCACACACAAACCACTCTCAGTGCAAATACAAAAGCTGCCCCTCATGTGTATTTTTAAATCTTTCCTCTTTAAAATTTGCCCCCTAGTCTTGAAATCCCCTACCCTAGGGAAAAGACCTTTGCTATTCATGTTATCTATGCCCCTCATGATTTCATAAATCTCTATAAGGTCACCTCTCAACTTCCCATGCTCCAGCCCTATCCAGCCTCTCCTTATAACTCAAACCCTCCATTCCCAGCAACATCCTGAGGAGTAAGGGGTAGTCATAAAGATCAGAGTGCAGCAGAAAAAGTTCCCAAGTGTTGTCAATTCCTGAAGAATAAAGAGAGTAACATCTAATTCGCGAATGTAACTTTCTGTTGATCAACCTATGAAAATAGTTTTACAGGGAGTAAACCTACCCAGTGCAAACCTGGTAATGTTTCAGAAAATACTAAGGCAGTGCAGTATGGGAGTGATGGAGACTGTTATTACAAGTCTCACTCCAGTTTTCCCTGATCTGCGTAGCTCCCAGGCATAGGGCAGAGGGAAATTATCCCTGCGGTACGTTCCATGAGCAGAACTGGATGTGATTCACTGGCAATGCATTGTGTATAACATGGCACACCTTATGTCTTTCTGGTTAATTCAAATATTCTAGAAAACAAGTAAAGTATTTTGTTTCTTTGCGCATAGTTTAATTGCTATACCAATTAAAAACACTTCACTATTATCCACTTACAAATTTCTACCGTTTGCACAAACTCACTGTAAGCAGCACAGTGGGGATCCATAAGCTCTTGGTGTGCTTTGAAAAAGATTCCATTTTGTAGAGTTAGCTTGGATGGGATGCATTGTCTCATTTTATTTTAACTGTATCTGACTGTGACACTGAGTCTGCAGTATAAATAATAATTTGGTCAAATTCCATGTTTATTGTTTTGGACATTAGTCTCTTGGAAAAACAAATGATTTTGCTATACACAAGAAAGATAAACATCCCAGCGAAAGTCATGCATGTCAATTTCTGGCCTGGATTGGCTTGGCAATGTTAATAATTTAAAATGCACTTTGGTACCAATTCCGAATACCATATAATGTGATTTAAAACTATTATATAGAATAGAATAGAAACATTGAATATAGGAGCAGAAATAGGCCATTCAGCCCTTGAAGCCCACTCCACCATTTAAAACGATTACTTATACGTATATATAATTATCATTAAAAGTTAACCCTATCTTTCAGCTATGTCTGGCCTTTAAATCATTAAAATCTGTCATGAAATATTGCAGACTCAAACTTCAGCTTCTTGCCAATGTGACAAGTTTCTGATGAATACCATGTTGATGATTGTTTTGTTTTATTTTATACATTCATGGGATGTGAGTATTGCTAGATGGGCTGGCGTTTATTGCCTATCTGTAGTTTCCCTTGAGAAGGTGGAGGTGAGCTGCCTACTTGATCCGCTGCAGTCAGTTTTGGTGTAAGTACACCCACAGTGCAGTTAGGGAAAGATCTTGGGGAGAAAGTAAAGGAGAGAGGATCTTGACCCAGCGACACTGAAGGAACGGTGATATATCTCCAAGACAGTGAATGGCTTAGCGATGAGCCTGCAGATCGTGGTGTTCCCATATATCTGCTGCCCTGTCCTTCTAAATGAAAGCAGTTGTGTGTTTGGAAGATGATGTCTAATGAGCCTTAACGAATTTCTGCAATGCATCTTGTAGTTGGTACACACTGCTGTTCCTGAACATTGGTGGTGGAGGGACTGCATGTATTTGAATGGGGCGCAATCAAGCAGGCTGCTTTGTCCTGGGTGGTGTCAAGCATCTTGAGTGCACTCATCCAGGCAAGTGGGGAGTATTCCTTCTCCCTCCTCACTTGTGACTTGCAGATTGTCAACCAGGTATTGTGGAGTTAGCAGGTGAGTTACTCACTGCAAGATGCCTAGCCTCTCTCCTGCTCTATAGGCAGAGTATTTATATAGCTAATCCAGTTCAGTTCCTTGTCTGGTACTAGTATGGCACAAAGTTTACTTGCCAGTTCTCAGATCAAGCCTAGGTATTGTCCAGATCTTGCTGCATTTGAACACGGACTGCTTCAGTATCTGAGGAGTCACAAATGATGCTGAACATCACAAAATCATCAGTGAACATCCCCATTTCCAACTTTACGATGGAAGAAAGGTCATTGATAAAGCAGCTAAAGATGGTTGACCTTCAGACACTACTATGAGGAATCCTAGGCCTTGAACTGAGATGACTGACCTGAAATGGTGGCACAGTGGCTCAGTGGTTAGCATTGCTGCCTCACAGAGTCAGGGACCCAGGTTCAATTCCACCCTCGGGTGACTGTCCGTGTGGAGTTTGCACGTTCTTCCCGTGTCTGCATGGGTTTCCTCTGGGTGTTCCGGTTTCCTCCCACAGTCCGAAGATGTGCAGGCTAGGTGAATTGGCCATGCTAAATTGCCTGTAGGGATGTGTAGATTAGGTGGGTTATAGGGGGATAAGTCTGGGTGGGATGCTCTGAGGGTTGGTGTGGATTTGTTGGGCCGAAGGGCCTGTTTCCACACTCTAGAGATTCTATGATTTTGTGAAATATTCAATACTCGGAATTGATACCAAAGTGCATTTTAAATGGTTAATATTACCTGGAACTGAGATGACAACCACAGCCATCTTCCATTTTCTAGGTATGCCTCCAAGCAGAGGACAATTTTCTTCCTGATTCCATTGACTTTAGTTTTGCTAGGGCTTCTTGATAACAAATTCAATCAAATGCAATCTTAATGTCAAATGCAATCAACTCCTACATCACCTCTGGAATTCACTTCCTCTGTCCTTGTTTGAATTAAGGCTAAGTGGCCCTGGTGGAACCTGAACTGAATGTCAATGGTAAGTTATTAATATAACTATTGAGAGCATTGTTAAGAACATTGTGATGCAGTGATAATATCGTAAGTATGTCTCTAAAAGGTATATGGACCGTGAGACATAACACAATGGAATAGTTTCCCAACTATGACAGTTAATGCCAGACTAATTAACTGCAGTTTGCATATGTGTAGTGCTTTTGATGCAGTAAAATGTCAAAAATGTTTTATAGGAGTGTTAATGGAATATTTTAGATGGACATAAGGAGATATTAGATCAGATGACTAAAAGGTTGGCCAAAGAGACCAATTTTAAGGAACTATTTAAAATATGAGAGACAGGTAGAGAGAAAAATTCAGAATTAGGACTGTAGGCATCTGAAAGAATTGGGTGCCAATGGTAAAATGGATAAAACTGAATGTGTAGAAGAGACTTGATTGGAGCAATGGAGATATTACAGGATAACTGGGCTAAAGGAGGTTATAGAGATGGGTTGAGGACAGACTAGGGTGGATTTGCAAACAAGAATGAATATTTCAATGATGAGATGCTGATAAATCCAACATCGGTCATTGAGGGCGGGGAGGGGGTCATAGGGGAATGAGACTCGATGCAGGTTAGGAAATGGGCGTCAGAGTTTTGAATGAACTCAAATTTGTGGAGGGTGGAAAACTGAAATGGGGCTAGAAAAGCATTGGAATGGGTTGAATCTGGAGATAACAACAAATGGTGTGGTTGAAGGTCTCACATTGACACCTTCTAAAGGGTATTGCTTTGCGGCTGTGATGAAAATGTTCATTCCAGAAGGGAAAAACCAATTGGAGAATCCAGGTCTAATCACTCTTCTGCAACTGCAACAAACGTGGAAACCCAAGATGAGAACTGCAAGAGGCTTAGCTGTGAGTGCGGCATCAGTTTTAACAACCTGTTCACTGGGGAATTGAGGTGTGCACTAATTTGTAAAATTGAAAAGATCTCTCAACCTTCGCCCATCAGTCGCACGTATCGTACAAACTCGAAACACTGGAACCCGTGGCTCAGATCCATTCTCAGCTTGGAGGCTGCCACCTAACCTCTTTCTATACTCTTGGTCGTAGAATTTTACTGCCTTACAAATGAAGTTAACGCAGTGGTTGTAAATACAGCCAATGTCTTTTGTGGGATTTTCAAACTGCAGTGATTTAAATTATCAAAAGTTTGGCAGAAATGACAGATTCATGCTAAAAAAAATAACAACAAATAGAATTAATTAAATCTTGGCAGCATATTTCCTTCTTCAAGAACATAATGGTCATTCAGTCAAAGCTATGAACACAAAAAATAAAAATCTTTATAATTCAGCAATAATATTTCGTTATGATGTTTTTCTAAATAGTATGAAATGTCCAGCAAATATTTCTGTCACCATAAAGATGATGGGACTCTTTGACTGGACCATTTTATATGGTTGATATACCCTGTGCAGTGGATTTGATTGATACCAAACAAATCTCAGTGTGATGTTGTTATCATTATCAAGCTGAAGCTGGAGATTATGCCCCATTTTCTGAACACTAAGCAGCTCTTGTGGATTTGTTCATAGCTATAAATCAGAAGGAGGAAGAGGTTAGCTATAAATGAAATAGTTTATACCAGATCTGAACAGTGGAGTGGAATTAGTGAGGGACGCGAGCAGCAGAAGGAAGATTAATGAAGTGACAAAAGGCAGAAATATACCAGATGTTTGACTTGAAAATGGAGAGTTTAGCAGCAAAGTATAAGCATTTAATATTTAAGGTAAACACATGCTGATTAAGGAACTGATTGGATTAAAAGGTACCAAAACTGTTTGAAGCCTGTCCAAAATGAGCCATCAATTTCAATCCATTCAGACTGGCTTGCAGAACATTTTGTTTCATTTTTAGATCAGCTCAAATTGTTCTCCTGTGCATACTCAGGATACAAAATTACTGTACAGCTGACAACAATGGAGATTAATCACGAATATCATAAACAGAAGTGGCCGAACACCCCCGTTTTGCAGAATACGACACCAACTGCCTGCCTTGCTCCCTATGTTTGAAGTGAAAACACTCCAAAAAACAGTGAGTGGTTGTCAGCACTGCACACTGGCGAGTAGTGGATTATAAAAAGTGCTTCAAAAATGCAAGTTTTTAAAAATAAATACATTTCACTGCCCATGACTTTGTAGTATCAGTCAGCAAGACTCTCCATGGGCAGTGTGTGCACAGAAAATCAGTAAGTCCCCTTCCCCAGGTCAGTTTTCATAAAGTTGCAAAATAAATGGGGTGAAGGGGTCCACACTTACCTTTTTTCCAAAATAAAATGTAGATGTCCTATAGACTTTGCTCTATCACACGCAAGTCTTAAACATTTCCTGTGACTTCACATGCCTCTCTTTTGTCACAGTCATTAGTGATTGGTTCCCAAAATAAAAGTCAAAATATCACTTCAAACAAACAGGAGCTGTTCACTTCCATTCAAAATCAGAGAAAAATGTAGCCCAAATGTGGCTTCAGAACTAACATCAGGTGTAATGTGCATGCCATTCCTAAATAACTGAGCAACTTGTAGTGTGGAGAATACCCTATGAATTCCCAATCACCAGAAGAAGTTGACATTTTGTGCTGCTCCAGCACTCACCTCCAGCTTCTCCTAAATCTCCTGAATTTAACCCATTGCAGAAAATTAGTGCTTTTCAAAAGGAGGAAATGCTGTGTTCCAGCAATGTTTATCAACCTCTCCAAAAAGGGACAGTTTAAACCCTGCTTCCTAACTCTCTGCATTCCGTGAATCTCAATCCTATAGGTAATCAGTAGTTCTTTGAGATGTTCAAACACTTTTATTATTTTTTCTTTCTATGTCTTTTTCACTTGATCTCTTTTTTTTCTGGATCGTGTATGACTCAAATTTGTTTCTATTCATCCCATGTTTCTTTCTTAATGTTGACTTAAAGATAAAACATTTGAACCTGCCATTCATCAAGGCCCCAGATGCCCTGGTCACACTTCTGTCAGATTTCGCTTCCAGTGAATTACAGCATAAAAACAAAATTGAGTTGAAGGGTGAGAGAAGTGTCTAGACTTTTATTTTGTTTTACATATAGTATTTTGTGACAGCATCAAATGCAAGATTTGTCAATTTTAGATACAACAAGACCTACCCTCTAGAGATAACAAGGTGTAGAGCTGGATGAACACAGCAGGTCAAGC